GGGGAGAGAGGCGGTTTGTGGGGCCCGGAGGGGTGATAGTTCCGTGAGGAGGGAGCCCTGTACAAACATAACTCTTCTTCTTTGGGCTTTTCACGCTCGACAGCGACATAAAGTCTTTGTACTCTTCTATAGCCTGGGCCCCACCCCCTAGGCCTATTCACCCACCCCTCCCTCGTTCCTTTATTTTCTTTTTTCCTTTTTAAAATCCTCTTCCCATCCCAACATCAATTTAGGCCCACAGCCCCACACCGTCATTATTTCCTCCTTTATTTTTATTTTTACATTTGTTTATAAAACATCCTCTTCATTTTCCACATTTCACCCGGTAGTTCCTACGTCATGCGCGCGTCATACATGACATCGTCATTTTTCACGGGCCGCTCATCACCCGGAGCCAAGTCATGGGTCGGACTACTCGGACATCCACATGATCCATCACACGATTAGTTAAATGGGTAAAACGGACACATCCAAATTTTGTTGAATTATAAGTTCGTGTAAAGATCGAGAAAGACGGGCACTTTTCGAAATAGGATCATTTGATATAAATGTTTTATGATAATAATTAAGAAGAAATAAAATTTAAAAAAAAACAGAGAGGGGGGGTGGGTGTACATGGAAAATGACTTGGGAAATTGATAAAAAAGAAGAAGTGAAGAAGCAGAGAAAGTAGAATGATGAAGGGTGGTTGTAGCGGCCGCGTGCGACTGAAAATGGCACCAAACGTGACGCTGATTGGCAAAAGGAAGGAAGGTGAGTTGAGAATGGGAATGTTATTGGAGTGAGGATGGAGTTGAACTCAACCCAACTCAACTTTATGACATTAATTTGAGTCTTGTGGTTCTCGTTTCGTTGAATCCTTTTGGCCAACCCACACACCTTTTAATTATATTTTCCAGACCTTCCATTTAATTCCACGCCTCAATCAAACCTTCCCACAAAGGTTCTTCTTCTCTTCTCCCCCCACTAAATTCTTCCATGCCTTTCTACTGTTACCCTACGGCTGTTATCCACACGCGCACACACATGTTCTTTTCTCCATTTTAATTTGTTTTGTTTGCATCTACTACGCCCACTATAAAATGAGTGTAAATTTTATAAAATCTCATCCAAAAGGTCTTTAAATTTTTTGCATTAGTGATTGTCACGTGAGGAGTTTTTTCTGTTTCTCTTTTATTTAATAATGCCTGCTGTCCTTAATACTATCTCCCCGATCCTTTATATAAGAATTAGTTAACTAATTTGAGTAGATTAAAAAAATTAGTTAAATTAGTTATTTGTAACAAATAGGTGTTGTCTTTCGTAAAATATCCTTGTTAATTAAGTGTATTGGTTAAAACTGTTATTATTATAAGGACTACCTTAAAAAAAAGATAAATATGATAGACAAAGTGAATTGGAGTCTTATATTTAAGACCAAAATAAAAGTCAAACAAGCTTTTGTATTAAGGATCGGAGGTAGTATAAGATTTACACCAACTCTAAAATTAAGGAAAATTACGTACAGATCCCACAGAAGAGATTTTATTCATCCAAGGTCCCACAAAATATCAAAATTACAGACATGTCCCAAGGGACCTTAGAGTAATATATTCTATTTATAAAATGACGTTACTGCTCCTCATATTCCAAATTCACATTTGCTTTATCATTGCGATTTACAACCTCAACAGCGACTATTAACAACCCAATGAGAAGGTATTGACAACTTAAGCAGTATCCGTTAACAACTTACTTTATAAGATCACATAACCTCCACATAAGAGTAAATTATAACCAAATAGTATAATACAACAACTTTAACACTAAAATGGGAAGTTTTTTGAAATAATTAAGAATTTTAACTAAACCCAATGGGATTATAGCAAAATTTTAATAAGGAGATCCATTGATAACCTCAACGGTGAGTATTAATAACCTAAGGAGAACTGTTAAGAACCTTAGCAGTGTCTGTTAACAAGTGACTTTATAGGATAATATAACCTCTAATTATAACTAACTAAATTATAACTAAATAGTGTTAAAGTTAATCTTATATAGTTGTTAGATATTATATTATCCTATAAAATTAGTTGTTAACAGACACTGCCTAGATTGTCAACGGCTCTTCTTGGGTTATTAATACTTCCCATTGAAGTTGTCAATGAATCTTAGTATTAAAATTTTGCTATAATCCTGGTAGATTTAGTTAAAGTTCTTAATGGTTTCAAAAAGCTTTCCATTTTAGTGTTAAAGTTGTTGTATTATACTATTTGATTATAATTTACTCTTATGTGGAGGTTATGCGATCCTATAAAGTAAGTTGTTAATAGATACTGCTTAGGTTGTGAACATCTTCTCACTGGGTTGTTAATCGCTGTTAAGGTTGTAAATCGCAATGACAGAGCAAATGTGAATTTAGAATGTGAAAGGTAGTAATGTCATTTTACAAATAGAATATATTACTCAAAGGTTTCTTAGGACCTGTCAGTAATTTTGATATTTTATGAGACTTTAGATGAATAAAATCTTTTCTGTTAAACCTGTGTGTAATTTTTTCTAAAATTAATGGCACCTTCTTCGTTGTTCTAGATCAATGTATTAAAATTAATGGCATCGTCACCTTATTTAAATGTATATGCAATTCTTCATTACTATACTAGGATCATGTTTTACTTTTATAGTCAATAAGAACGAGTAATGATCAATGGAAATTAACCAAAACTAACTAGGAACAAGAAACACCCATCAACTACAAAAAAAAAAAAAAAGAAGAAGAAGAAGAAGCCTTTTTTAGCAGACGGTTGCTTATTAGTAACAGTCCCCACAAATTGGTGACATGTTGCTATCAAGACATAATTAATTAATTTAAGTAGATTAAGGATATTAATTAAATTAATTAATATGATATATTTTTTTTCAAAAATACTTTAAGCATCTTTTTTAATTTCCTCCCTTCCCCTTTTATTTGATTATTGTTGGACATCAATAGGATTAATTTTAAAAAAATTAATAAACTTGCAAAATAGGTCTTACATATAAAATCAACCTCAACTTTCTAGTTAGGTCCTATATCAAGGACCACAGACATATGAGATAAGTAGTATGTGAAGAGAATTTTGTCTCGATTTACGTAAAGTATTTATAAGCACTTAAAATAAACAAATACAAACAAGTCGCAATATTTCATTGCTATTATAGTGCATTAACAAAAAAGAACGATCCCGAGTCTTAACTTCAATATAAATGTCAAAATAAAAAATTTATAACAATGGTCCATGGGCACGGCAAGAGACACTAAAATAAGAGGAATTAGTTGCTTAGTGCCTACCCATCTTAGTTGCCAAGTGAAACCCCATTATTTGTCAATTTGTCCAGTGTCCACTCACATTCTTTCAAATGCAAAGTTGAATTTCCCCACATATCTTAATTAATCTTCAGTTTAATCATTTCTCTCTCATGAGTTTTGTTTTGGCATCTTGCGATTTTTAATTTACTCACCTATATATATATATTGTAGATTAAATTTTATAATAATATCTTAAATACTTGGATTGGTTTTTAGGTTTCATTATTTCGCTATATTTCGTTTTACATTTACATATCATTCCTGAAATTCATTAAACATATGTAAATAATAACCACTTCAAACTCTAGGTTCTCTGTTTCCTGCTTTTTTGTCAGTGAAATCGAAGATTAATTCATGGGCTTTTGTGTTGTGCACTTGTGCGTGTTGTGCCTTTCAAGGAATTTCGAATTTTGTTTATGATTAGGCATGTCTTTTTGACATTCTGAGAGCGAATTGGTCCTTACAAAAATAGGAACTGTTATAAATTTGTCGGGAAAAAATGACTTCTTCAAAATTTTATACTTTTTGGTATATTAATAATAATAACAACTTAGTTATTTTTGAAAAATAATTTTATTTCACACATATTCAAAATTTAATTTAGAGAAAATTTGCCATTGGTTGAATGCCGAGTCCGGTTACTTTTCACCCTGTTCAAACGCACAAACGTCTCTATTTTTCTATTTTTAAAACTTTTTTGCCAAGGTTTTTAGAGTCTTTGCCTTATTTACAATTTATTTATTATTTAATACTATCACTAATCCTTAATATAAGAACTCGTTTGACTTTTATTTTAGTCCTAAATATAAGACTCTAATCCACTTTGTCTCTTATATTTATCTATTTTTTCAAAATACTTCTTGTAATAATACTAGTTCTAACCAATATACTTGATTAGTAAGGATATTTTAAAAAACATAACACATATTTATTACAAATAACTAACTTGACTAGTTTTCTTAATCTACTCAAATTAGTTAACTAATTTTTATATTAAGGAGTAGAGGTAGTAGTATTTTTAATCTCCTCTACACACTTCCCCTCACTTTTCATTCAAAATTTTATCAAGCCCAAAATTGTTTTATACTCCTCCGGTCTTAAATATAAAACATATTTTGTAGTATAATTTACACTATATATTACACTACAAAATATACCTTATATTTAGGACAGAAGAAGTATTATTATGATTTCGGGTGAATTAAGGTGCCAGCGGCCCAAAAAGAAAGAAAACTGTCACGCACATATTTGTCAACCTATGAAATATGGGCTCTAGGCCATTGTTTGTAAGGCCCAAAATGGATGGGCCCATAAGGTTCTCAAATCTTGCCCCAATTTGGGGTAGACAAAGCCCAGTCTATTATTTGTTCATCACGGGCGGCCTCATTGGCCGACAATAGCATCCCCTCCGTCTTTCAAATTACTCCTGCCGTGGCCGAGTCCAGGGGGCAACGTTACGCCGCCGGAATGTCGTCCTATCGTCGAAGATTACGCTGGAACTATCCTAAATCGCAGAACCTGTCAGGCCCTAATATGTATAAATCCTCGATCCTGCACAAAAGTCAGATAACCGTAGTCCAAAAGACCGATGCTCAAGGTAAGGCTTAGGCGCCATTGTAAGAGTTTCTCAGGATTATCCTTGAACAAGTGAGGTATTTTTGAAAATAATGTTATATTTACAACAATTCACAACAAATTTTATCTATTTTCCTTGATCTTGACGAAGTAGGTATTTTTGTTTATAAAAACAGAGATTTCAATCAATCGTGTCGTTCTTTTTTGACTTCTCACAAATATAAATATAAAGTTGATAGTTGAATATACATTGAATCGTCATGTTTTTTTGGAGAAAACCTCTGAAACGGTACATGGTCAAAAAAGTAGAGAAAAGAATCTCTTGAATAGGTTTTTGGAACACGGCATGTCTTGGAAAATGTTAACAGACTTCTCAGCGTGCAGCTAGATGGCCAAAAAGACAGTGCCTAAATGTGAAGGTGTTTCTGCGTTTTTCATTTTTGGCTATGAACTGTGTGAAAAGGAAAAGAAAGCCCCTCCCTCTCTCTTTAATTGGTACTTCAGAGGCAAAGAAATGATCAGCATTATAAACGGAGTCGCCCAATAGGAGTCCATGAATGTTGTGTTGATGATATGACAGAATCCTGTGAAGAAAGAACGGGACTACTGTAGTGTTGCATGGCTTAAAAGTGGTTCTAAACTGAGTCACCCAATATTCATATTTCATAGCTTTCAGTTGTTTCGTTTTTTTTTTAATCTTTTTCCTCGCGTGATTCAGTTATCGAATTTGAAGCAAATTTAACAAAAGTGACAAACTCAGTGAATTTTAAAAAAGGACTTGATGTTAATTTTCCCGGGAGCCAATCCTCCACAGTCCACACCAACTTAAAAGTCAACTTTTACTGAAGCTTTGTCCCAGCGAATCAGTCAATAAACAAAGCAAAACGTGCCTCTTTGTGCATCAAAAGAGATACGCTTCTTTTTACTAGTGGGCTGTAGAAATGCGCATCATTCATCCACAGTAACACAGACAGCTTTGTACGTACTCCATCTTCCCGTTGATGACTTGATGACTTTTTTAAATGCTCCATTATTCTTGTCAGGTTTGTTTTCTTAAATGTAGTTTCATGTTATAAATCCGTCCATCACCAATACCCTAAATTTGCCGCCACTCGAATAATACCACTGAGCACTTGCTAAAACTTTTGTGTTCAAGTGACTCAACTGGTGAAGGGCTCAACTTGTCATATCAATGCATCAATCACTGCATCTGAAATTTTCGTGCTGTAATCTTCAAACAGAGGATCCCAGAACAACCCCTGAAACCAACTGAATGATTGCTAAATTCTTTTTTTTTTTTTTTTGGGGAGGGGGGGGACAAGTGGCTTCTGGAAAAATCTTCCAAAAAAATTAAGTCATCTAAAGGAAAAAGATTTGACCCTGCCACCAGGACTCTGGGGGAAGATGGTATTACATATGCACTGATCCCTTTGAAATATGTTGTCCTCAAATATTTACCTTGAAGTTATATATGCTATCACCCTCGCTTCTATCACATTCGAAAGGTTAAGATATTTGCTGATATTGGTTTTCTTAGTTGTGTTCTACTGAATGATACAATTGAGAGCGAATTGTTAATCTGTTCTCATTTTGTAGTTTGTTTATTACATATGTGGACTAGACATCTACTGGACTCCGTGGCGTTCAAATATTCTTTTTCTCGACTAAATTGGGTGAATGGTTATAAAAAAAATTCTACTGCAAAAAATTATCAGCCAATGTGTGCGCACTTTGGAAATGGTGGGTTATCTCTATCTTTCTCGCTCTCTCTGTTTACTGTCAAATCAACTTTGATTCCTTGGGGGTTGCAGAGTAAATTGGCGTTTCATGTCTCACATGCTCGCCGCACGATATCGCAAGTGCTACGGTGAACTTGTAACCTAAAAGTCTCTTTTTTTTCTTCGCTGTTCGTCTGATATTACCTACAATAAGATATCCTTTCAATTCATTATCAGGCTACTCTTCTATCTTGATATTGTGCCAGCTGAAATGAATCATTGTTAATGACGTTTAAGAAAGAAGCCTAAAGTCTTGGCAGTTACTTATACTCTGGGCATGCACGGCATTTTTTTTTTTTTTTGGGTCTAAAGGAACTTGGTGTCTAAGTTCAAAAATTTTGTTTTCTTAACAATCTTTCTATCTATTCATATATTTATGCAACCTGCTATGGACTGTGAGGCTTATTTCTACTTCATGCAAGGTCACCGAATTTGCCATTAAACAATTGCGTGGGTAGCAATTATGTTTTCCTTTTAATATGTGTTGCAGTTAATTCTGTCATTTAGCAATGGGATTTTATAGCAAATAAATAGCATAAATACCACAGGCTGCAGCAGCTGCTGCCGTGACATATGGAGCCATTTTCTAACAGTACAAACTAGCATTTGTATTAACTCTTGATTTAATTTAAGTGATAAAGAGTTACTGATTAAAGTTTTGACTTTCTTATGTCAATGACTGTGAACTAATATCAGTTAACCAAAGGATCAATCCCTGGGACGGTTTTCTCTTGCAGGATGACATCGTGCTATACAGCTGCACTTGATGAATAAAACAAATTAATGAAAAGTGACAGCCAAATGATTGTTCAGACTAAATCAAGGTTCATATAATTCACTGTGTTTTCCTAGATTATATCAGAAGAAACGAATTTCATGCTAACCCACCACTTTAATTTAGCACATATTTTTATTATACTGTGTGATTGTTGGCTTATAGACTTTTTTTATTTGCCTGCATGTTGAGTTGGAGTACGAATGACAACTGAGTCGAGAATTTACCTTCATAAACGAGAAATATATTCCTGGTTGCTTATGTTCTTCATTTCCTGAAGCTCCCTTGGATAATATTTCGTCTTCAAAAAATCCAAAAGGGTCATAATTGCGTGTCCGTCTGTGTTGCCGAATGAAACAAGCCAAATGGGACCGGGTGAAAAGGGTTACATAGCTGCAGCACTGTCAAATAACCATTTTCTGATCTGGTGATTCTATATGTATGTGTGGTAATCCGTCACTTTCAGGTTAAATCATTGTACACGAAGTGAAACGAAGGGCCCCTTGAGTGCCAATAATTTATATTTGATGCAGGGCCCCTTAATGGCTATGGTTGCAATGCGAGTTGGAATACAATAAAATCTGCAGGCTTTTTAGCAGTATCCCACTACATGACTGTGCTAGGGGACAAGCGTGAATCCTTGCGTTATGAACATTGATAAGACTCTGTTTCAGGAAAAAGGTATGAATAGGCATTCCATTGAGCACAAACAAGACTGAGTTATGCTGTGCTTGAGCTGCATGTACTCAGTTTTGTGACTCTCAGTCTTGCTTGCATTGCACCCGCATGGTGATTATATAAAGCCTACTTTGGTCACAAAAAGCATGCTTAGTTTTTTAATATTATATGCCTTCCTTTCTACTCTAGTTGGTTTTTTCGCTTAGGATCCCAACATCTGTCTCTTGCCTGAGGATCATTACCCAAACGAGAAATACAACTAACCCTTAACAAAAATAGGATTTCTGATCTAGAGCACCCCTCCTCGCCGGAAAAAATAGAGATCAATCCGTACAGATAAAAAGTTAAGGACGTGAGGGATCACGCCTTAATTAAGTTAGATTATTACCATGAGTTACAGCTGAGTATGACTGTTTGTATCTAAGTGCTCTCTCTCTCTCTCTCTCTCTCTCTCAGAGACTGCACAGGTTAAAGTTTTCTGTTATTTATGGAATATTTTATGCACTTGAGATGCCCATTATTGTACTTCATCTTCTTGAAAAATCAAATATTAAGATAAATCAAATCATGTATGTAAAGTTGATTTTATACTATGTGATTATCTTATTGATTTTGTGCTATCTTTCTCAAAGTTAGAAATTAAAAAAAAAAAAAAAAGCAGTAAGGGCAGCCGGGCAACTGAGATGGTGGGGCCATAATTCTCTTGCAAGTGTGCAAGACTAAGAGGTGTAGGCTGCTATTGTTCAAACAGGACTATGATAGTCCAATTAGGACTATAAAATTTAATACGAAAAGAAGAAAAAGGAAGTTGGGACTCCACTTGATGTTCAATCAAATCCCAGATGGGGCAGAGATAGTGTTGTTTTGAAGATTCATGCTGTCTCCTACCCCTTTACCTAAAAGTCTTTGTTCTGATTATGACAACCATTTCACATGTTGAACTTGGACACATTACTAAAGTGCTTGTTTGAGGGTAGTAATTCTTTTTTCACCTTTTTATTTTGGAGTGCTGGTTTAAGTGTTGTCCTGCTTGGTTGCTCTTTTTGGTTGGATTTGGGCTTTTGGGCATTCTCTGCTGGCTTTATTTTGTTCTATTTTTATGAAAAACAAATCATACAAAAAATCGAAGCTTGTTAACATGCCGACATAATTAGGTGACGGAGAAAGTGATTATCAAATAGTCTAAACTTTGATTATCAGTCTCCTTAATCATTTTGTTTCATGTAGTTGTAATGCATATAAATTACTTATGCATGACTATGTCTGTGAGTCATATTCTGGATTAATGTTTACATTGAAAAAATAATGATTACATTGCAATTTAACAGTCCTTAGCTGAGAGGTCCTTCTGCCAACTTTGGTGACCATTTAAGCAAACATGTTTTCAAGCACATATATGATTTGTAAGGCTCTGTTTAGATAGACGGAAAATAGGGAGAAGAGAATATTAAAATAAAAAATTTCTAAAATTTTTGGAAGGTTTTTCTCATATTATTCTATTATCCTTTTTCTTATTCAAACAAAAAGGAATAGAAATGAGGAAAGCCAATTCCTCCTGTTGTAGCCTATCACGGGACAGATTTGAAATTATTCAGCAGATTCGAATAATGCCTCCATCACTGGATGGAAGATGAATATTTGTATTGGAAATTAAAGATTAGTTACATGTCACAGTTCTTGAAGAGGCAAATGGGTGTGATGCTTTGAGTGAAGAGGACAAAAGATTAGGAGCCTGCATTGTGGGGAAGACTTATCTGAATATACAGTTAAGAAGGTGGAAGTGGAATGATTATAGCAAAAGTGAACGGCAAATTTGGGCCCACAAATTGCCATAACCATAAAACAGCGCATTATAGTTGAGCTTTGCCGAACAAACTCTCAAAAGCAGAAACCAGATTAAGATATCTCCCAGCAGCCCTATTGAATAGTGTGTGTGTGTGTGGGGTGGAGTGGCCATCATAATTTTTGTTTGAGAAGAGGAAAAAGAATTACAAAAAAAAAGGAGTTAAAGAAAGAGATTGAAGCACTGCTCGATACCAAACAGTGGGATTGCCACTTTGAGGGGCCCAAGCTAGCAGCAAGAACTTTGACGCTAGACAGTTTTTGGAATGTGGGTCCTTTCATTGGATTCTCTTGTTCAACGTTTTGATTATGGGGAAAATCTCCCCATATTTCATTTTTCACTTTAACTTTTTTCGCATTGTATTGAGGATAGCAGAATAAAATACACTGTATAAAATTTACAAATAGTACTGTTTGTCATGAATCTTAATATATCTTGTAATATAACAATCTTTTATATATTATTATATGGTCTGATTGAAAGTAATTCATCTAATGCAATTTTTTATTCATAATATTCACAATCTCAATTTTGTTCAAAGAGAATTGAGTATTTTGGAATCAATCCAATCACAGCAGATTTTAGTATTTACACACACACACACTTATTGATATTATTTGCAATTCACAATCTTAATCATTTAGCTATAAATCCCTAATATGACAAGTTGGTCCGGCCTCTTCTTATTTGATTTCATGTTAGTTTTGCATCAGAAAGATTTCATATTTAATTTTTTGAGGATTGATATTAAATAATAAAAAGAAGATATATTCTAATTATTCATTCATCAAATGATGTCTTTCTTTCATGTATTTTTGTTGGGGGTAAAACTTTAATGTATTTTTATTAACAAGAGCCATATAATTGGTAATAATGCGGCAATATAATTTAGGGTTAAGGTACATCTAACACCTTGAAGTATTTTCTTAGGTGCATCCAACACTCTAAAATATTTTGTGGTGTATCCAGTACCTTGAAGTATTTTCTCAAGTGCTTCCAGTATCGTAAAGTATTTTTTTATGCATCTAGCATCTCAAAGGTTTTTTAAATGTGTCCAGCACCTAAAAATATTTTTCGGTGTATCTAGCACCAAGGCAAAAAAAATATTTCAGGATGTTAGGTATCCCTAAAAAATACTTCGGGATGCACTATAAAATACTTTAGGGTACTGGATGCATCTGAGAAAATACTTCGAGATGCTGGATGTACCATAAAATATTGTAGGGCGCTGGATGCACCTAAGAAAATACTTCGAGATACTGGATATACTTTAACCCTATAATTTATGAGTGTGTGATCATTATTTAACAAGCTGGGCTCCGGGGATGAATAAATAATTAAGTATAAGTGGCTCCTTAAAATTAAGTATTTTCATCAATGTGGTGTTGAAGACTTTTTTCTTTTCTTAATTTTTTCCATGCGTATGGTCCTTCACGTTCTAACAATTATAATAACAAAACAAAGAAGAGGCTTTGAAGTTAATACAGTATGCAACAAAAATGGGGAATGGAATTGTAAAGAGGAAAGTTTTTTTTTTTGGTGATACATAAAGAGGAAAGGTTTTCTGGGTACGTGGAATTGGGTCATTCCATCCACTAACGAACGTAACGGCGTCTTGTCTCCCACCAACCCCTCCATCTTTTCCTTCCCACTTTCTTTACATTTTTTTTCCGGAAAAATAAAATAAAATGACCACATTTTGGGGCCAAATTATATATGAGCATTTAATCATAAAAAATCCTGAAACTCACAAATTAAAAATAATTATATTCTTAATTATTTCAAGAAGTTAAATTCGTTGTTGAGTTTCTGAAAAATCATAAATATTCCTGAATTTAAAAAAAAAATGTTATTATCAAACCCATAAAAATCCTGATGCATTATTGTAGGGGCCTTACAATTTATAAACACAACCCATTCCATATTGGCCAATAAATTTGTAATGAAATTGAAAAGTTAATATACTACCTCCGGTTTTAATTATAAGAGCTAGTTGACTAATTTGAGGAGATTAAAAAAAGAAGTTAAGTTAGTTATTTGTAATAAATAGGTGGTATCTTTTCTAAAATATCCTTACTAATCAAGTGTATTGTCTAGAACTATCATTGTTAGGAGGACTATCTTGGAAAAAAATGCATAAATATAAGAGACAAAGTGGATTGGGGTCTTATATTTAGGATCAAAATAAAAGTCAAACAAGGTCTTATATTAAGGATTGGAAGTAGTATTATGTTACGTTTCACCATAATTCATTGATTAGAATAGTACTTTTCCAAAATTTACTAATACTTTATAGTAATTTTAGTTTAAACAAATAATTACATTTCTAGAGGTTTTTTATTTAAAATTTTTTAAAAATTTAATGTATACACATATATGGTTTTTTTTTTTTGCCAGAGTTTTTTTTATTCTTTTAGGTAGGTTCCGAAACAGAGAATAAAAAAGATGTGAATGGAATGGTAAATTATGGGTTTTTTTTTGGGGGGGGTCAATTATAGGTGTGTCATTTGAGAATTGAGAAGCATTAGTGTATCAGCCATAGGACATCACATATATAATACTTCTCCTCCTATGTTTAGTATAAGACTTTTATTGGTTAAAAAAAATATAAAACTTATTTTATAGCGTAATTTGTATTGTAAAGAGAATCTTATCTTAAGGACTGAAATGAATATATACACATATATGATAAAATTATAATATTCATGAGTTGTTAACCGTGACGACCAAATTCAAGTTATGAATAGAATCATATATTCAGCTCAGTGAAGAGGTAATTAATAAAATAAACACTCTGCCTTTTGGTTTATAAATATTTTACAATCCTATCCATCTATCTTAAATATGAAGAAATTTTTAGAGATTTGTTTCTATCCAAATTATTAAGCCAAAAAGATAATGCTACTAATATTTATTATATTAAGTTTTTTAATCATACATGGTAATATGTTTTAATTTTTAAATATTATTATACTATAAATTCACATTAAAAAAATAGGATACATACCACATGTGATTGGAGAATTAAACATGCTAGATGTAGAAAAATCTGACTGAAATATTCTCCAAAACAAAAGGCTTATATATAGTGCGTTAATTATATTATTTTTCGATACAAGCATTAATCATATCATCACAACTGTTGGCAAAACAATTATATTATTCCAACTTTTGATTTTTTTCAGTTCCATTATTTGTTTTATTTATTTAGTTAAAAATTCATTTTCATTACTAAACTCAATTTGATTTCGATCAATCTTTTAACTTCACTTTTATTTATTTATGCATGTGCTTGGTTAAAATAACAAGAAGAAAGTTTTCATATTCTATAGTGCATTGTTAAAGAAAGATATTAACAATCCAAAATTACAAGTAGGATCAATCCTCATGCTTCTCGATTTCATACTACTAAATACTACCATTTTTTATTTTAAATATAAGAGTTAGTTGATAATTAAATTTAGTTTTAAATATGAGATTTCAATTAACTCTATCTCTTAAATTTATAATTTTTTTTAAAAATATTCTTATTAATTATAACAGGTTTCTATCAAATAGTTTTAATTATAAGTAAATAACTTAACTAATTTTATTAAAAACTGCAATTTACCTGTTGACATGCATCCACTGTACTGCTGATAACGCGGAGTGTGTGCTGTTTTCTGGGCTTAGCCTCTGACTCGTTTTTAATTTCAAACAAGGCATCTCGTACACACAGGCACAGTCAGTTTTGCTTCATTTCCCATCCCTTTGTCTTCGACGTTGGTTTCATTTCATTTTCCTTTCTTCCTCCTCATATGCATATATCCTGTCATCTCAATCCGACGTTCCCTTTCCTGTTCGCAAATTTATATTTTTATTTTCCCGGAGAATCCATTCAGTATATACGCCCAGAAATTTTGTTGCAATTTGTGATAGGAGATCTTCTGCATTTTGCTTCCAAAATCGATGTAAATTTGGCCTTTTCCAGAGACCCTTTTCGTCCCTTTCTTCCTCTGTTCCTCTGTTCCTTTTTGTTTTTCCTCTGTTTCATTTTCCTCCATGCTCTGTGCTTCTTACTTTTCTCGCGCCAACTAGCAGTCTTGCACATGCTCTTCATCCCACGCATATTTTCTGGGACATACAAATAGTGACTTTTTACTTTCTTAGGAGCTGTAAGAAATAACCGGTTTATCTTTTGAATGTCTGTAATTTCATTATACAAGTAAGCAAACGCTAATCTCGGGGAAAAAAAAAAGGATATAGAGATAGCTTTGCCGGGGACTTTCTGTGACTTGTCGGCGTGGTTGCCTACATAAAGATTCATAAAATTAATAAAAAAAATGTGCACAGTCTTCGGGGAATTTTAAACAAAGA